ATCATCAACCTAAATTATGAATTTTCTTTACTACCTCAAAATCGTTGATTTTTTTTATCGAATTAATATTTCAAATTATAATACTTTCGTGATAATCAATTTCAACAATGTTTAATCCGGATTAACTTACATAATTACTATTCTTTCTCTCAAATGTAAAATATCATTGTTAGATAGATACTTATCTATAGTTAGATATTACTTAACTCCTATTTCACTATCATCCTAATACTAATCACAGCATATAGTGGATAAATAATATGTTCAACCAGGTCTGTTGTGAGATATCAGCTCACTGAAGACAATGGTATACGGTAGCGCAACTTCGTGGATTGGTTGAAGTTAGACATTAACACCATTGGATGCCGGCTCAGTGGTCTATTTGGTTAAGCGCTTGGCTCGAGACTGTTAGGTCCTGGGTTCGAATCTCGTGGGCTGCGGGACCGTGGACGCGCACTGCTGAGGAGTCCCATACTAGGACGAAACGGCCAGCTGTCCAGGGCTTCCAGGTTTTCCATGGTGGTCTAGCTTCAGATGACTCATGATTTCAGTCATTGAAATTTCTAAAATCTCCACAAACCCATTCTGATAAATAATATGTGTTTGAATTGTATATGATTATTTCTTTTTTTATTTTTATTAAAGAAGCATTTTTAAGTCCAATTAAATACTATACAGTAATGGATTGGTAGCTTAATGCTTAACAAACTTGAATTTATTAAATCTTACGAGATTTTGTTCTTTCATTCAAGTTAAAATTGTCATGAATTAGAGATTGAATATTATTCGTTTAGAGTCAAAGTCAACTAAAACATATTTTTGTTAATAATTGAGATTATGAGTTAATTGAAACTATATCACTATGGTAAACTTGGATGCACTGAACGACTGTTTCGTTTTAGTGTGGGACTGCCCCCAAATGCCCTGATATGGCCGGGAGTGGCGATAGTTCGCTCTCCCTCTTGAAATGCTATCATATGGCCACACGTATATAGCCTCTGCCAGGGAAGTCCTACTCACTGCCTTCTCACAGCATCACTGTTGTTTACGAAGTCGAGAGTACGAAAACGAATGTCCGGTGCTTTAACCGGGTTGGTGGACATAGAGAGTTTACCTAAGGGAGTTGGAAAACCCTCATTCCAAACCAATGGTACACATGGACTCCAGTATACTGAAGGAACAAATGTAGTATTAGCCAATCGTTGGTCACCGGCTACCATGGGACTGCATCTCCTTACGTTGCTCCATTGCCTTGTGGATCAGACCTTCATGTCGAAGGCTCCGGGTGTAGCCCCTCTAAGAAAACCACCGGTTTGGGCACCTGGTCAGTATCACAGCTCTCACACATATCAAATGAGATTTGTGTGGCGCATATGTATTTGTCTCCTTGTACCAATATCTATGTGTTAAAATAAATAATAAGGTGTGGGACTGCTCAGCACTGCGCATCCACGATCCCGTCTCGCGAGATTCGAACTCAAGACTTATCTGTTTCGCGCGCTAACGCTTAACCTCTAGGCCACTGTCAACACATCCAACAGTGTTAATGTTTAACTTCAGTCGATTCATGAATGGTTGCACAACCATTTATCCATTGTCTGTAGTAAATACATGTCTCTATTTATTTATTTATTTTAACACATAGATATTGGTACAAGGAAACAACAAATACATATGCGTCACACAAATCTCATTTGTTATGAGGCTTAAAGGTTTTGCATTCGATCTTTAATGAGGTGAAGATTGTTAGTACACACAAATAAGTATTCTCATACTTGAATAAAATAAGTGTTCAGTATTTCCTAGTTTCTAATGATACCCTAACTTAAGTCAATTTATAGCGAATATCATTTGTAAATATTATTTTATATCTTCAGTCATCATTATTTGACCACTTCAAAATGTTATTGTATATAATGTTAGAGATTAAGCAATTGTATAAATGAAAATGTATATTCTATCAATTATTGAATAAATTATATCTTTTCTTATTGTGTTTTACATGTATATGTATGGGGGTAGATAAGTTAAAAGTAACTATTGTTAAAAATTATTATTCAAAATTGTGTTCATTTATGGTGTACGTGTTCACATAATTAAACATACATAGATACAAAAAAATAAAAAAAGATGAACAAAAGAAGTTGACATTTAATACCAACAAAGAAAAAAGAAACGAGGGAAACTTTCTTGTCTTAGATTCTTTGTACTTCAACTATTTATTCATATTTAGATTATTATTATTATTATTCGTGTTATTTCATTGTAGATCCTAATTGTAGAAGTATTTCTCTTTTTATACTGTGTTTCTTCTCAAATGAATTAATCCTTAAACAATTTCATGAAAATATGATTCACTAATATGATATACATTAGTTTTTATAATGTTGTATTATTATTATTATTATTAACATTACCGATAGTTGCATGGTATTACAGTAAATGAAAGTTTGAAATGTTGTTTGTATATGTTGTATTAAATACAATAGTCTAAACACAAAACCTGAGACAAAATGAACAATATCACTATTCATGATAGATGTATAGGACAATCTATTTAAGTATATATGTATATGTATATGTGTATATCAAAGTTCTCTCTTGAATAGCAACCACCTTAAACATTTGATTAATCACTTTGTATTATTTGAATTACATATAAATCTAGTTGATTTGATTGTAGAATCAAGTGAACAGAATCACATGTTTATCATTCTCTTTTATTTATATACACGCATAAACACAAAAGAAAATTCATTGATTAATTTGAATTGATGACAAATATGCAATTTAATTGTGGTGATGGTGGTAGTGGTGTTACGCTTTTTACTGAATTACATGGTTACTTATTTTATGTATAAGTTGAATTGTATTATTTAGTCATAATAGATAAAGGGGTGTGGTTACTTGAAAGTTTCCTTTTGTAATTTAAAAAAAATTTATCATTGACTTGTAATTTCAAATAATAATATGTTTGTATTAAGTAGTAATGTAACTAATGATTTAATTATCAGGACACTTAAATATCGTGCACAGATACATACTCCTCTAATATCATTTCATCTACTTTAGTTTATGTATTTCGGTTAGATTATTAACTTATAAACTTCAAAGCATTAATCTATGCCCTTAATTACTGTCATACATATTATAATTCATTTGATAAGTAGTGAGTTATGTGCTTGGTTAGTATTACTATCCAGCTACTTAGACCTAGGTGCTATGTGGGGTCGAACCAGTGACCTATTAATTAATAAATGCTGAGATAGTAACTCACTGAGGACAATGGTGTACGGTAGCGCAACTTCGTGGATTGGTTGAAGTTAGACATTAACACCGTTGGATGCCGGCTCAGTGGTCTAATGGTTAAGTGCTCGCGCGCGAAGCCAGTAGGTCCTGGGTTCGAGTCCCGGGTGGTGCGGGGTAGTGGATGCGCACTGCTGAGGAGTCCCATACTAGGACGAAACGGCCATCCAGTGCTTCCAGGTTTTCAATGGTGGTCTAGCTTCAACTGACTCATGATTTCTATCTGTGAAATTTCTAAAATCTCCACAAAACCCATTCTGATAAATGCTAAATAATTCAGTTACTAACTAATCGAATCATATTTCCATATTGAATAGTCATATTATTATGATTATAATAAAAGAGAACAGAAAGTAATTGGTGTTGACATCCTATCCAGTGTTTGATTATTACAATTATGTTCATAATATCTGAAATCTTTTGATTTCACTATGTTCAATGTAACTACAAATGAAATGAAATGTATGATATGTATTAGGCTATTCTCACAATTACTATGATGATGATGATTAACTTTAATGTATGCTTTTCTTACTAAACTAACTTTTATAATCTAAAGTAAACTAGTTTTTTTAAGTTGACAACATTCTCCTGACCTAATTTTGAGTTCAGTTCATTTTATAAATCGATTGTGATCTGAATGTTTCACTTCTTAATTCTTATGTTTATCATGATTTAAACAACTAATGAATTTAATCATTCCCTACATTAACATTTATGTAGATCCAGAACGTTTACATAAATTTCCATTCGGTTAGTTAAAAAAAAATCTTTCTTTTTTTTTTGTTGATTGGCCTGCATCACGCAACATTTGGTAAGATGCTTTTTTCAATGTATAAAGAATAGTTAGTGATAGAAATATAAACAATCTTAAAATTGTAACACTTTACCATAAGTACAATGAGAGATAATCAATAAAAGGGAATGGTAGGAATGAAATGAAAATAATATTTAATTCATTTTACATTAAACTTGTATTATTTTTTAAAAAAAAAGGATTACTCCATATAATTTCAACAGTTGAAATCATAAGTCAATTGAAGCTAGACCACCATGGAAAACCTGGAAGCATTGAACGGCCGTTTCGTCCTATTGTGGGACTCCTCAGCAGTGCGCATCCAGTTGTGAAATAGTAACTCACTGATGACAACGGTGGACGTGTCGCTCAATTTCGTGGATTAGTTGAAGTTAGACATTAACACCGTTGGATGCCGACTTAGTGGTCTAGTTGGTTAAGCGCCTGGCGCGAGACCGTTAGGTTCTGAGTTCGAATCCCGCGAGGAGGGGTCGTGGAAGCGCATTGCTGAGGAGCCCCATACTAGGACGAAACGTCCGTCCAGTGCTTCCAGGTTTTCCATAGTGGTCTAGATTCAACGGACTCATGATCTTAACCACTGAAATTACTACAATCTCCACAAAAATTTTTCTGATATTCTATATATATTTGGTAACGTGATGATTGTGACACTAGTTGTTCAATTATGAAATTACAAATTTGAACTTGGTTCCACTTACCTTGGTTTCTGTGATACACTAATACTAAATGAATAGACGAAAGTTAATTACACAAAGTTTATACTTAATTATTGGGTTCCATAATCTATTGAGTTACATGATCTTTAATGTTAATATTTAATATTTTGACAAAATAGAAACACAAATTAATTTACTGTAATAATTTTCTTTGATTATAGAAATTTTTCATGCGACATACAGCTGCCAGATTACGAAATTCTGAAATTGGATCTACAGTTTCTGAATCAATATGTCCAATGGGTGGTAGATGTCGTGTTGAAGGTCCCGGTCGTGGTAAATGCCCACATTGTCGTTATCGAAAATGTTTAGAGTTGGGAATGACTTTAACACGTAAGTTTCTTTCTTTTTACACTTACATTTATATATATAAATTGTACTTGTTTCATGTATTATATAAGTACTGCTTGAATAAAATAAGAACTGTTATAGGTCTATAGAGGATATTCATACTTAAGTAATATTTGATCACAAATGCCTTCGAAACATTGTTCGTATATTTTAAAACCGCTTAGTGAGTAATGATTAAGTTAAACTCACAGTGCTAAGTCACTTACTTACTTACGTATGTTACTCCCAATGAAGCATAGGCCGCTGACCAGCATTCTTTAACTCACTCTGTTCTAGACCTTCCTTCCAAGTTCTGTCCAATTTTGTTCATTTTTTTCATGTCTCCATTTCTCAACAAAATGTGTTCTTTAGTCTTCCTGTTCTCTTTTGGCCTTGAGGATTTCATGTGACGCCTTGCCTTGTGATGCAGTTGGGTGCTTTCCTCAATCTGTGTGCTATCCACTTCCAGAGCTTCTTCCTCCGCTGTGATCTGGTTTATTCTCTCCCATATTAGGTTGTTGCTAATAGTGTCTGGCCTAAGGATCCGAAGTATTTTGTGTAGACAACTGTTAATAAACACTTGTATCTTCTGAATGATGGCTCTTGTAGTTCTCCAGGTTTCTGCCCCATACAGTAGAACTGTCTTGACATTTGTATTGAAAATCCTGACCTTGGTGTTGGGTGAGAGTTGTTTTGAGTTCCAGATGTTCTTCAATTGTAAATATGCTGCTCTTGCTTTTCCGATCCCTTTTCCGATCTGCATCAGATCCACTGTGTTCATCTATGATGCTGCCCAAATATGTAAAGGTTTTTACATCTTCCAAATCGTCTCCATCAAGTGTGATTGGATTGGTGCATGCTGTGTTGTATCGGAGAATCTTGCTTTTCTATTTGTGTATATTGAGACCTACTGCTGTTGAGGCTGCTGCTACACTGGTCGTCTTCTCCTGCATTTGTTGTTACGATCGCAATAGGAGGGCCAGATGATCTGCTAAGTCTTGGTCGTCCAGCTGAATTCTTGCTGTCCACTGTATCCCGTGTTTCCCTCCAGATGTTGACGTGTTCATGATCCAGTCGATCACCAGGAGAAAGTGGAAAGGTGAGAGTAAGCAACCTTACCTGACACCGGTCTTTACTTCAAAGGAGTTTGTCAACTGCCCTCCATGCACGATTTTTCTGTTTAATCCATCAAAGGAATTTTGTATGATATTAACTATCTTCTGAGGCACGCCGTAGTATCGAAGAAGCTTCCATAATGTTGTTCTTTCCACGCTATCAAATGCTTTTTCGTAGTCAATGAAGTTGATGTAGAGTGATGAATTCCATTCAATTGATTGTTCCATAATGATCCGTAGAGTTGCGATTTGGTCTGTAGACGATCTATCCTTACGGAATCGGTGCCTGTTGGTCTCGAAGTTAGGCGTTTGCGGAGTCCCTCATCCTGTTCAACAATACCCTGTTGAAGACTTTTCCTGGTATTGAGAGAAGAGTGATGCCCCTGTAGTTACCACACTTGCTTTGGTATTTTGATCAGAAGTCCTTCTTTCCAGTCTGTTCGTACTTGTTCTTCATTCCAAATCTTATTGAACACAGTGCTAAGTAAGTTTAGTAAATTTGTTTTTGGGGCAGTGAAGCTTTGTAGACTGAGGTGGCTAGAATGTGTATTACATATGCCTAACAACATTCGATAATTTGAGCAACATGGCTCAGAATTCGTCACAATGAATCAAGTGTATTTACTTTTTGTTTTCCTTTTGATATTAAGCTTTAAAATTATTTTAGATATTTTTTTAATTGTACGAATCCATTCTTTCTTCCTGAGTCTAATCTTTTTTTTACTACCTTTGATACTGTTATTACTTTTGCTACTCTGAGATTTATCTTGATAATTTCATTTTACTATGCTAATATGTTGTGACAACCTGAACCATTACTGATATGTGGCAGGTTCTACGTTGATTATGAATGACTGATTGAGATAGTCTATCCTTAGCCATTAAAAAAAGGAACTATAGAATTTTTAACGTTGTTATGTTAGATTATAAGCTTGTTCATGTTAATTTAGAGACCGAATTCGAATCGACAGACGATGAGACTATAATTTATGGACGACCTATGAGCGACGCTAAAGTGACCTTGAGAGTGTCCACCTGATAACCAGGACCATGTGATGAATTATAATTATAATTTACAGTTGATGATTAAGGTTAGAAATTAGATTTAGGGCTTTCATCACGAACTAACATAAGCTATAATGCCAAAATTATATTTAACCGAATGATTGAGTGAATTTTGCGCCGAAATCCGACACCTGATATCCTATACATGATTGGTTCGTCCATAAATTATAGTCTCACCCAAGCGACTACTCCACGCATTTGTCTTAAACGAATAATAACATACTGTGTACCTGAAGTAATTTTAACACTATTATTACTATTATCCAGAATATAAAATGTATGATTTAAAATTGAGTATACATAGTGTACACCTAGTGAATGAGTTTTAAATATCTGGAAAGTATTAATTTTTCGACTTATAGTATAAGTAATTCATACAATTTGTTTCTATAACTTCTCATTATTGTATTCCTGTGTTCTTTTTCCTTCTTTTTTTTGAATTTTCATGTATTTCCTTCAGTAAGGAAGAGATCAAAATGAACTGTAATTACATAGAGTTTTATAATTATAGCATACTTTGATATTAATTCTTTATATGTAATTCTATTTAATAGGATTCTTCAATGTTTCTATTTTAGTTTAAAACCTTTTTTCTTTTATCAATAGAGAGATTTGTGGAGATTGTAGTATTTTCACAGTTGAATTCATTAGTCGATCTAATCTAAACCATCATTGAAAACCTAAACGTACTGGAAAGCCGTTTCTTTATGGTGTGGGACTCTTCAGAAGTGCCATTTCACGACATTAACATCGTTGGATGCCAGTTCAGTGGTCTAGGGGTTAAACGTTTGCTAGAAAAACTGACAGTCCTGGTATCGTGGATGTACACTGCAAAGGAGTTCCATACAAGGACGAAAAGGCCGTTCAGTGCTTTCAGATCTTAGCTTAGATCGACTCGTGAATTCAACTTTAAAAAATTTTAAGCTATAGATTATTATTATTGTTTCGAGTAACTGTCTCTCTGATTTCTCACCTTGATATTTACTGTCAAAGTGGATGACTTACAAAGGATATTGTCAATACTCCTTAGTTTACCTTGAGTGAAATCAATCGACAGTCATATAAAAGCTTTATCTTTGGTACATATTAAGAAATTAATTTACCAAACTGTTTATTTATAAGAATATGTGTATATATTCAGAATTGAGTTTTGATCAGTTTTTGCTAACAATATGCGTACATCCTAAACGGATACATATAAACAACAATGAATAGTGCAAAGTATTTCTTTTGATTCACTTTAGTTCTTATTCATATCTTACAAATGTAGAAATGTGATTGTATTTATGGTCGATTTTTATTCATTTATGATTATTTATCCTATAGGAATAATATTCTATGTTATGTATCCTTCGTTTAGTTATATTGAGTTTATATTAATCATTTACACCCAGTACATGAGGATTATAAGTTAAAAGAAACCTCTTGTTAGTGTTGTATCCGAGGAAGATTTAATCATGGGTAGCTTCTGGAAACTATATATGAGCTCTTATTACATATGTATATATTCTTAACTATTAAGTAACTAGATTATATATATATTGATATTTCTCTTATTGTAAACTTTCATTTGATCAATTGGCTACTATTATACAATTTACTCTCACAGTCATAGACACTTTTGGCTTGATTTTGTATAATACCTATTGCTCATTTTATGGCGTGATGCGATCTACTTAGTTGATATATAAACCAAGTATGTCTGAAATATACGATTCATAAATCGGAGGTTGATATTTGTGTACTGAACTGTACTGGATTGGGTTAAACGAGAAGTTACTATTTCAGAGAGAACCAATAAAGACTGAGTGAACTCAAGACTACTAGTGCTGCTGATTAACACATCATTGTTTTAACACAAGGACAAGGTCATAAAAGTCAGTATTCAAATTGGCAATTTTGTCATATGATATTTAATGAACTATAAGATTTAAAAGTTAAAATGTACTTTTTATTTATATTTTGACAAATGTTTTCGAAATTCAATTGCTTTATAAATAGTATAGTAAACAATTATAGAATAAACATTTCCATTTACGCCTTATTATTTAGGTAAATATCTCATTTATGTGTCATTATTGATCAATTTCATTGTATTCTAATCAAGAGTACATCAATCATTAATTCATTATCATGGATAAAACTTTTATATAGTATTTTCTTCTTATTAAATTTTTTCAATATACATGTATATTTTAATAATACTGATCCAGGTATAGTTAATCATTACTATCTGAATCCAATAATGAATAACTTTAATGAATTAATCTTAATCTAAACAAAATAATTATATTTTAAATCAATATCATATGTTAAGAGAGAGAGAGAGTGAGAGTGAGAGTCAGTGAGAGTGAGATAGATGTCATGGATACATTCATAGTCAGTTGGGTTATGTTTTTATCCTTTAGGCTTTTTTTCCTTCTTTTTTCATTTGAAAAAGAATTTAATTAACCTTACTGTTAAAGGTAATCAACAGATCTCTTATTCTTTAGTCAGTCAGTTACAACGTAAGACCAGGCACATACATGCATCGTCCCAAATTGCCACACCTCATTAGCACAGCATGACGAACACCGGATTCATAGAAGCGTTGAACTCAATGGTATAAGGAAAGATTTTATGTAAGGATATAGTACAGAAAGAAAGAAAAAAGATATGAAATAATTTTAATCTTATAGTTTAAGGGAAGACAAAAAGGGTGTATATACGTACGACATTGTGATCGATCGATTTTGGGCCATATCACCCACAGTCTCCAACTATTGATTATGATAGTCATGCGGACCCCCAACCAAATAGGCTGGATCTACCAACATGGCTCAG